TAACCTTTTCCTTTTTACTCTTAATTTATCAAGTGGATCTGTTGAAAACAGACATCTGTTATTTTTTCAGGCAATATTTACTTGTGTCGTATAGTCTACATTCAGGTTTCTCTTTCAGAAGAAAACATTGTTTCAGACTGTATCTACGTATAGGTAAGGTAGAATCACAGAATCATGGATTCGCAGAATATGCTGATTTGAAGGGACCAACAAACATCTTTGCTGTATTTAGATATTTTTTTTAATATAGTTTGAATTTACATGTTTCCACGTTGGTTTTTATACTGCTATTTCTTTTTATTAAGCTTTTTAACATATTTGTCATGCATGACTGTGGCTTCCTCTGTAAGCCTTTAATGTATAAGGGAAGCTTATTATATAACAAATAAGAATTATCTGATTTCACATAATAAAAGGGGAAAAAACCCAAAAGATTATGGTGGGGTTAAAGTCTAAAATTTGCCTATAAATTCAGTCTATCACTTAAACAGGCAAGTAGTTTTAACCAAATGAATAGTCCCAGTGAAATCTAGGGCAGAGAACTGTATTTAGAACAATTTTTAAGCAGTGTTCTGACCAACTGGGGTTGTAACAAGTTTTGCACTCAAGCATAACAAGACTAACAACCGCAGGTAATGGGAAAACAAATAAAAATAGGCTAAAGAGTTGTCCTGGCTTGCCTGCGGAGTGATCTCGTCTCTTGGTTGGGCAAACTGCACTTTAACAGAGCAGAAGCATGATGTGAGGCAGCTTGCTCGGCATCGAGGGTTTGTGGGGCAACCATTTGTGAATCATCCTCTGAAAGGCTATTAATTCCCTGATGAAAAATATTCACTGCAGTTTGCTTCAGCAGCTGAAACCGACTTGCTGTCCTCTTAACACTTATATTCGGAGGAGGGTTTATGATAATTATCTAAATGAGTTATAGAAAAGTTCACAAACTGTTCATAAATAAACACTAAGGAGAGCTGGGTAGAGAGATTAATCCAAAGGTGTAATCTGGTGGCAAAATGAAAGGCAAGAGTTTTCTATATATTGCAGATCCCAAAGTTGTCCTTTATATGTCTTCCAGAAGAACTTGTGATCTTGTGGAAAACTAATAAAAAATAAACATATCTCTTTCTTTCTCCTAATGTCTTATAATCATAAGCTACCTGTCATCTCAATGCTACACAAATCTATTTGATCCTTGTGTTTTCAAAAATACTTACATATTTTACTGCTGCTAAACTCTTCAAGTTAATTTTGTGGAGCTAGCTTGACTATTCACCTTCTGGAATAACCGAGTTTTTAATTTAATTCCAATTCAAACTTTTGCCATACTGCTAATGCACATACATGGAAGAGCACCTTTTAGTTTTCAGATTTCAAACCAAATATAATAATTGGACTGTTTTCCTGAGAGGTAAAAGTTGAATCCATATATTTCCTATCTTATTCATGTTGTGTCACTTCTTTTGAATTAAAGAAAGATTGCAGTAACAGGAACTAATGCAAATTCTTTTGCCTTTTGATAAATACAGTAATCCTCTATTTTCAGACTACAACTTTCACATCTGCAGACTTCAGGTTCAAGTAAGAAACTTATTTTTTATTACTTTTTTGTATGTGTTTTCCCTACGTTTTTATCTCTGCAACGCCACAACAGTTGTAAGCAGTGCTAGTCTCACTCTGAGGCTTTAAAAAAAAATTTAAAATTTCTTGTGAAATTACTAGCAAAGCAACAAAAAATAAAATCAGCTTTTATTTACCTCGGTTTAGAATTTTTGATGACAGAAATTTTGTTTCAGGAATTATAAAAGTTTTTTTCTTATTTTCAAAATATTCAATAGTTTTTATCAAAGAATACTTCAATCAACATTAGAAACCAATTGGAAGTTTAAAAAAAATCTTATTTTTTTTCTTTAAGTTATTATGCATACAGTAGATATGAAAGGTTGAGCTCTTCCAATTTGAAGGCCTCAATGGCTATTATGAACAGAAATAGTTGATTTAGCTATGCCATTACACTATTTCACTTATTTAATATGCTTGTTTGAAGTGAAAAAGAAAGTCTGTTTAAGTAAACATATTTTTCCTTTCTACAAATCCATTAAGATGGATTTATTTACTTAGTGAGAACTATTTTAAAGTGCTTTTTTCTCCAATTGTAGAGATGTTGTGACATCTATATAAATATTTGTAACACAAATACCAAAGAAATAATAGCATTCACCTAATGAAGAAGTTATAGCACTCACCGTATTCTAACATTATGTAAAGGTTAAAAATGGAGAACTTAAATTATATTAAACTAAAAACCTTTGTAATTGAATGGGCAAAGATATAGAATATGCTTCAGTTCAGCAACAAATACCCTAAGTGAGCAGCTTACTTAATAGGATGTATTTAGTCAGATATTTTACAGTTTGCCAACCAACTGGAAGAGGGAAGGCTTTTTAAAGGGCACAAAAAAGGACAAATGCAAACAAAAGTAAAAGATAACTTTAACCAAGTTAACCTCCTTTAAATCACAATTAAAACAAACAATTTAAATCTTTGGGAATTAAATCAGATCAGTGAAAACTTTGGGGTTGTACACCCTTTTCACACATTGCAGTGAGACCCTGACATATGCCTGCAATACCAGTAATGGTTAATCACAACTTTTCTTACTTTGGAGCTCTCTCCTCGTAATCAAGCTTGGCAGGTACCTCCATGGTTTAGGTCTGGGTCACAGCTGGATTTCACCCACAGTGTTTAAAGAATGTGCAGTCCCAGAGGTTTTCAAAGTGTGATATGTGTAAGCGTTAGCCAAGTTGCTACTAGTCGATCGTGAACCACTTTAGGGTGATAGGTGACACAAGTCTGGGAGCAGCACTACTACCATGGCTCCTGGTACTCAGAGAGATGACTGTCCCTGCTCATCCCTACCATCACTGATGGGTGACAGTGACCAGCCTCCAGCCCTCAGAGCACAGCAAGGTGATGAAATAACTTTCTCTCAGAGTCTGAAGTGACCAGTCTTACAAAGATGACCATGAACTTCAGGTTCAGAGCTGTTGGCTGGAACTTTCAAGCTCCTTGCAATGAGGAGGTCCCTGCCTATCGCTGTCCAGGATCTCCTCATAACTGGATGGCAGTAAGTATCACAGAAAACAACCAACAGGCTTTTGGCTGGACAATAACTCTAACCAATATTTACCCTTTCTCAAATATTTTTTTTCTCGTAGGGAGCTGCTGCAATGGCTGCATCAAGGGAACCTGGAAATAAAGGCATCCCTAGATTTCATAGTCTTATTTTTCTTCTGTTTCAAGCTGCCCACTGTGCTGGATGTTAAATTTCTTGCACAAAGAGTGAGACTTACTTGTAATAAAGTTTATCATATGCTAGTTCTGGGAAAGATAAAGAGCAATTTCTTTGATGCTCTAAATGTGTAACCTGCACTGTGGTGATGAGAAGCTATTTGGAACTTCCTTTTTACTAAAAACCTACCAGTTGCAACTTTTAACTCATTGCCTATCTTGCTGGGCTTGAAACCTGTGTGAGAACACAATTCAGATTTTACAAAAGCCTCCAATCAAGGGGCAGGTTTGCTAACTGGTCATACCATAGAAGAAGTCTGTCTGGTTTTATTTCTGGTAGATGAAGTCATTTTTTGAGAAATTGGATCTATAAAACTGCAGGGCATGATACAATGATAATAAATGCATAGAAGCTTTCATATTTATTAATTAAACATATTAGAAGATAGAAACCATCCAGAGTAGTTTTCTAAAGCAGCAGCTCTTTTAGCTGTAGATCTTCATACAAGACCCACTGTGAAGTTTCTGAGCATCGAGAGACAGAAAACTGTATTAGTATTTGAGACAAGGTAAACAAGACCATCACATCACATGGAGAACATAGCTCCTTTAAATTATCTCATTCATATATGCAAAAATGGACATAAACCCCCAAAAAACCAAAAAAACCAAACCAAACAACAACAACAACAAAAAACCACACAAACCAACCAACCAAAAACCAAAAACAAAACAAAAAAACCCCAAACCCACAAAAGGAAGAAGTGACACTTTCTAAAGTCTTATCCCAAACCAGTCAATAAAAAGCGACTTCTAGACTTCTAGAGATCACTTGCTCAGAAATTACTTATAAGCTTCCATTTACTGTTCTGAAAAATGAATGATGAATGGCATAAAATTGTTGTTATGCCTAGCTTAGAAAGAGAAACTGAGACACTGAAAGTTTATGCAATTTCTTCATAACTTACAAAGGACATGGAAATAGAACTCCTGTCCTTGGTCTCAAGATCCTCCGTCTATTTTTCAAAAATGGGAGATGTTACTGTAATGACTATATTGTTTCCCTTAGGGTGGAAAGCAAGTCCCCTTCCAGTGATTTTCTTGATGTTATTTGCTAAATTCCTTCTTATGGCTGTCAACAGGGCATTTATAAGACAAATTATATAAAGGAAAAGCTGTGCCACATGGCAGGTATAAAAAGTAACAGTTCTAAGGATTCATGTAAATATTAAAATATTGAATTTACCCTAGTGTTGTTCATGTTTTGTGTTACACTGCCCAGAGGTGTTTCATTGTTTCCTACAAAAGGGATATTTGAATTTTTTTCTTTTGCTTTTATTCCAGTAATTAGCCATGACTGAGTTTTAGAGATATGCAGGAGAGGTACCCCAGTGCATTTCCTTTTGATGTTCCTTGAATTAGGTTCAGTGCTAAGAGAAAACACTTTCCTGCACCCCTCCTCTATATCTTTAAATGAATGTCATCCAAATGGCATTGCCACTCAAACATTACAGTGAAATTCCTTGCATGCTGATAGTGCAGTGTGGGAATGTCTAAAATTGTCCCCCGTAGGCTTGAATTCAGCCCCTGAAGGTTCACTTGAGTTTAATTTCACTAATCACACAGGGACAGTTATTTTTTGCTCTTGCTCAGCTTCTCTTTCACATGCAAGCACGTTAACACACACACACACACACACACACACACACACGCACACATACACTCACTCACGCTGCATCCCTCCCGTTCTGTTGCACTGAAGTCCAGATTTGCTCTGACCATTCCTGCACACAAGCAGAGAGCGACACAACATGACGGTGCCTAAGACCATAGGTGGGTCGTTTGCTTCGAGCCAATTTATTCACATTTGCGATGGTAAGATTGATTTTTATCCTGCATTTCTGAGTTTATTTAACTGATTTCAGAAACTGCCACAGAGGTGGGGGCAGAGATCATCTTCAAGGTTGCTGTCATCTGGAATTTTATGTCCTTCATTTTCTTTCACTCTATATGCCTGTCACATCGGCTTAACTGTGAGTAGCGTACTAGCCAGTACCTCTGGCATACTGTATATTAATAGAATATTGATATAGCCCAAATACTGTTGTGGGATTCATCATTTGGTAAATCCTCTGCCGTCTGCAGTTTTACAGAGCTGTTTAATTAGCAATTTTACAACCTCCTATTCTCTCATTAAATTAATTAATAATTAAGTTCAAATATAGGCATCTTTAATGTCATAATTATATTTCAGTTTTATGGTCACCAGAGTTTAGCTCATTAGGCAAAGTAGTCATAAACCATAGTTCTATTTAGGGGCTGAGGCACTAATGCACAGGTAGTTTGCTTCTGCTTAGTATTTTTTATCCTTCTCAGTTTCTCCCCTTCTACCCTCATCCCCCCGCCTTACCCCCCTCCCCAATTCTCCAGCTTCCCTTCCTCTCATTGCTCTCTGCTAATACTGGCATTTTTTTTTCCTGTGGCAGCTCTTTCTTATTTATATGTCATGTTAAAAAAAAAAGAAAAATCCCTGGTGCACACTGTCATAGCTCCCCCTCCCCATTACTCTCTCTGGAGCAGTGCAATAACACTGGCCTGCTGTGGGTCCTGCTTCCTCGCAAGCCTCAGGGACCACAAACTCCAGTGCTGGGCACCCAGAGGTGCCCAGAGGTGGCAACTTTTGTGTAGCATCATATTGGTGATATTGTACTCCTTTTTGACTGCATGATTTACCAAGGCATGGGATGTAGTAATGACATTTCACACAGTATGATATGTTGTGCGTTGTTTTATATGTAGTGGATTTATTTCAGTCATTATCACTGATTAAACCAGCTTAGTTGAAAAGGCAAAGCAAAACTTGGCTTTGAAATTGTTCTTATTTAATTTTGTTTGTGCTCACATAACCCAGGACAGCACTAATTATCTCTTTAGCGTAGCTCATATTTCTAATGTAATTCATATGTAAATTGTAATTTAAATCATATGGGAATGTTTGTGTTCCTTGCATATTCTCAGTAAAGAGCACAAACAGCGAATTAAAACTGTTTGGAAATGAAAACTTTATGTTGCCTTTTTTGAACTGTCTTTGATTTCTTTTGGCTTGTTGTTTCTCTAATGAATCATGATTCAATTGGATGGCTAAGGCCGATGCTTTTAGTCTCTTCTCTCTGTATTTACGCAGCTTGCTCACTGGCCTGCTTTTCCTTCTGAATTTGGAAGGCAGGGGGGAGCTTTCTGCATACTTGCTACCTTCGGAAAAAAAATCATCAGAAGATGACTATTACTAAAAATGAATAATATTTGTATTACAGAGCCTAAGATTACAGAGCCTAAGAGCATGGCATGCCATTATTTGTGTGACTTTGCTATTCAAATGGAACCACGCAAGAGTGTTATTTCTGGTAGCATAACTGATAATATTATGTTAAAATTTTAATCCCAAACCCGACTTTCCACTTAATAACATTAACTTTTTTTCTTTTTTTACTTAATGCAATATTACTATCTTCTCTGAAAGCTGTTGCTGCCCATAGTGAAGTGGTCTTTTGACAAGGCAAGTCAATACTTATTTGTATGAGTAGAGCATAGGACAGTAAAAATTGTTCCCAAACTTCTGAAGTTTCAGGACAGGTTGGCTTCCTGGATGTGGGAATGCTGCTGCGATACACTCTAACACCAAAAACAGAACCGAGACTAACAGCAAAAGCAACAAGCTGGATGTCACCAGGAGGGTGATTGTGAAAGCCTGCAGTCGTGGGCAGCAGGTGCAGGTGTGCTACCATCTCCTGAAGCAGAAAAAAGAAGGCAAAAGACGTGAAGGAAACAGGAAGGGTAAAAAGGTCAAATGAAAGAATAATTAAACCTAGAAAGCTATTAAGTTAATGAATGATGATGTCAGCTACACCTTTCTTTGCTGGAACTGCCCTTTACATTTCCTAGGCAAATCTCTACTCAAAACATTAGTGAGATAATGAATGTCTGTTTCTCATCCTGCCAAAAAAATCTTTGCCCAGCCCATACCAAATGAAGCTGTCTGTGCTGTATAGAGTCCAGGTGTCAGTGTCACTCCCTTGCCCCAGCAAATTGTGACCTGACCTGCCAGTGGCCACACAGGAGTGTGTTTGAAGTGCTCCCTCAGGTTTAGTGCAGGGTACTTGTGATATGATGGTCCTAGGAGCCTCTTCCCATGGGCAATTGCTGCTCAGACTGGTATGCAAAGCCCTCAGGGGAAAAATCCTTAACTCCCTGCCACCCTCTCTGTTGTTCCTGCATATTGCTGTGGCCAGAAGAGAGGTTAAGGGTTTTAGGACTGTATTAGTTCCTGCTGCTGTAATGCTGAGCTCTGGGACAAGTGACCCTGCCCACCAGTGGGAAAGATTGCATATGCCGAGAAAGAGGCAGAGGGGTCACATCAGTGAACAGACACACTGCTTTCTAGCATCCCTCTGCGGACCTCTCCATCAGGAAAACCGCTCCCTATGTTACAGCAATCTTGTCTTTCTCAGGCCTTGGGGACCCCTGCAGATAAGGTGCGGCATCAGGGCGCTATGTAGCACAGTTGAATGGGGGGTGGGAAAGGCAAGCAAGAAGCATCACTGGTCTGGTTTGGCTGTGACCACACAGCCCTCCTGTAGCCAGGTGTCCTCCAGGGAGGAATGCTGAGACATCTAGGGCACGCATTTAAAACACATATGGACACACATACCCACACACACATGCACGCGCATTCACCATGACGACACAAGAGCTGTCCAAAACTATTTTCAATAATTGATTTGCTGTTTAATTGAACATCATGACTGACTAACATAGCTCATTACTTTACTCATTAGTTAATTATCGAAGAAAGTAGGACAAGTCAATAAAATGGAAGGCTGTAAATTCCAATACTAATTAGCACCATTTCCTCAGAGACATATTTAAGGGCAGATTGGCTACCTGAGTGTCCCTGGACCTTGTAGATGAAGGGAAAGGGTAGACTTACCATAAATCTAGATTACCGGCAAGCAAGGCTCCTCAGCAGTAAGTAGTCAAGTACACAGGTGCTGAGCTACTGTCAGGCACTCTCTTTGAACTGGAATATTGGAACACAAGCAGCACAGAAATTCCTATTTTTAAAAGAAAAGAGGGGCGTGGAGGTGGTGAGGGAGGCAGTGCTCACACACCAGAGAGGATCCATATTTAAAATAAATTATGCAAACTGAACTACTTCTGCAAAGCACATTTGCTCTCCAAAGCTCTCTCTTTTCCAGTCTCTCTTGCGTTCACTTCATACTCTTTTTTTGGTAGTCAAAATCCTAGCCAAAATACTAGTCAAACACCTTCAGGAGTGGGCACATTTTTAATGTGTGGCTTCTAATTTATATCTCTTATTTTTGTTTTGGTTTGGGGTTTTTTTTTAAATAAAATATTCCAGTGAGGTAGAATTTAGTGGGTCCAGCAGAGCTTTAATTGAGCCAAAAAGTAATGTAAAACAAATAAAGACAGTTTCAAAGAAGTTTTCTCACAGTTTTCTCCTGTGAGAAAAGGAGGCAAACAAAATGGACATATGTGTAACATGTCTGCACTCATAGTATATATTTTATATACACATGATGTGTTATATATATGTATATATGTACTTAAATAATAAGTGCATGTGTGCATATAAAAATTCATGCAGATACATACATAGAGCTACATACGTACATACATACATACATACATATGGAAATATGCCTATATGGGGTTCCTTATCCTCAGTAAGAGGAAATTAGCAAATTTCTTGAGTTCTGCAGTTTAAAAGCCCTCTGGACATACAGGCTGCCTTTTAAAAATCAGCACAAGAGGACTCAGACTATGAAAAGGTTCTGTTGATATACTGGTACACTGTTCAACCATTCGTCTAAATTATTATAAACAATTAAGGGATCAGTATAAATATATTTTCTTAATTCCTTTTATTTGGAGGCATATCTTCTGGGTCTTCATCTCAATATATATTCACTTCTGAAAAATTAATTTCCAGTTAGGTGAATGGAAATGAAGATCAAAAGCATTACTTGAGCTCAACTTAAGGGAAGAAATCACCCTAAGAATAGCTCTCAGTCTGGAGTTTTAAATATTTAGTAATTCTAAAAATATATTAGTGGATTAACCTAAAAAATGCTAACAGATGTCTGTTACTTGACTTACTATATTTTGTGCCTGCAGTTCTGATTATTAAACCACAAGTTATGCTTGATTATCAAGTGTTTTAAAAAGTACCTTGCCAAAATGTTCTAAAGATTGCATGGATTTTTTTAATCAGTAGTTTTGAGAATCTGGCCTCTGGTGCAAATAAAACAAGACTGAAATTTAAGTTTAGGGAAGAAGGTGTAAATGTGCTTAACAGAAAGCTCTTGATAGAAATAATGCAGGGGAAAAAATCTTTAACTATTTTAGTAATTTTTTTTTTAAAAGTGGTATTTTATTATCTATATTTGGAAGAGGATATTTGTTTGGGATGTTCTCTTTGCATGAATGAAGGATTGGAAAAAAAAAAAACAAAACAACACCATATAAAATTGACTGGGAAAGAACAGAGAGGAAAAAATGTCCCCAATCAGATGTTCACTCAGTATAGGCTAAGGTGCAAGGTATATACAGCATATACAAGCACTGCACACTTGCTAGGAGTTGGAAATTATAAAGGAGAACACTCAGAAAAGATGTGTTTCCAGACAGGGCCAAGTACTCTTCAATACTGAGATTTTTATTTTTTTTTAAATAATTCTGGTTAGGTCATGCTGTATCTCTAGATATACTTGAACATCTTGGCTACAAGGCCTCAGGGAGAGCTCCCAAACTGAGCAGCCAGCATGCTCAGCCTACAAGGGCTCAACATTACACAATGGGTATGGGAATGGGGAGAAGGCTGTGAGAAGACCCAACTTCAAGATTTGAGCCATGCTTTAGAGCCATGAATGTCTCTCAAAGTACACAAATATGCAATGCTTATATTTTACACTGTCATTTGTCATACATATTGTAATGTATGTACATAATGTAA